TATAAAACGCGCGCGCACACACACACACACACGCCAAGAGGGGAGAGCAAAGGGGCCAAGAAGCCGCCAGCAGCGTTCAACAACCAGTGATGAACAGAGACCCACTCGTGGAACTGACGCCGCTGCGCCCTTCGATGCGGCATGAGGCCTCGCAAAGTACCTCGCACGCCGCGGCGGCGGCAGATGAGGCCGGGTCGGATGCAGCTGCGCCGCCGCCGCTGTCCGCGTCATTTGCACGTCGCGAGGATCTCTCGTACATTTGGGGCACCGACATTGCGGTGGAGACGTTCCGGGATGAGTTTCAGCACTTCCTGGAGACGTTTGAGGTGCACGTTGACGGCGGCGGCGGCGGCTTGCGAGAAGGCTCGGGTACAGGCGTGAGTCCCGGTCTTGGTCACCGCGGCGTTGGCACCCGCAAATATTTCCTGCAGGAGCTTCTGCGTCTTAGACTGCAGAACCGCAGTGTCCTCGAGGTGGACATGCAGCTGCTCGCCAGAGTGTGCCCGCGGTTGTGCCAGCAAGTTGTTTCTCACCCGATGGAGTGTCTGCAGATGATGGGCAACGTCGCGGAGGACGTCTGCCAGCGCCTCGCCGCCGCCTTCGCCGAGGTGCCGTTGTCTGACGACTTTGTTCTGCGGGTGGCGCCGAAGAATCTCCCGGGGACAGTCTCGCTGCGTGGGTTGGGGCCGCAGCACCTCGAGCAGCTCATCGCCCTCCAGGGGATGGTGGTGCGGGTGTCGAAAATTATTCCAGAGATCCGGGTCGCGTTTTTTCAGTGCTGGCACTGCCAACACGTGCGCCGCAGCGTCGTGGATCGCGGCCGCATCTTTGAGCCCACCCGCTGCGATCACTGCGGCAGGCACTACTCCTACCGGATTCACCACAACCTTTCCCTCTTCGAGGACAAGCAGTTGGTGCGGCTGCAGGAGGCGCCGGAGCACCTGACAGACGGCGAAACGCCCGTCACCATCTCCGTTGCGGTGTACGGCGACTCGGTGGACGTCGTGGTGCCGGGTGATCGTGTCGTGGTGACGGGCATCTACCGCGCCGCCCCTGTGCGCCTGAATTCCAACACGCGCATCATACGCAGTATCTTTGCCACGCACGTCGACGCCGTACACATTGAGCATCGCCGCGCGGGCCGAAATTCGTGGAAAGCGCAGCAACCGCAACCGCAGCAGACGACGTCGTCTGGCGGCGACGAGGGGCAGTCGGAGAATCCGGCTGAGGCCGCCCGCCGCGATGTGTTCCGTCGCATTGCCAGTCGTCCAGATATTTATAGCATTCTCCTCAACAGCTTTGCAAGGACCATTTGGGGGCATGAGGAGGTGAAGCGCGGGATTCTCGCACAGCTCTTTGGTGGGACGCGGAAGGAGCTCAAGTCCGGCACCTTCCGTGCCGAGATCAACGTGATTTTGTGTGGAGACCCGGGCGTGGCAAAATCCCAGCTCCTCTCGCAGGTGCACGAAATTGCCCCACGTGGTGTTTACACCTCGGGCAAGGGCAGCAGCAGCGTTGGGCTTACGGCCTTCGTTGTGCAGAACCAGGAGACGGGGGAGTTGGTGCTTGAGCCGGGCGCCCTCGTGCTCTCCGACCGCGGGCTGTGCTGCATCGATGAGTTTGACAAGATGAACGAGGCCACGCGGTCCGTGCTGCACGAGGTGATGGAGCAGCAGACCCTCTCCATCGCAAAGGCAGGCATCATTGCGCAGCTCAACGCCCGCACTTCGGTGTTGGCCGCCGCAAACCCGAAGGAGTCGCAGTGGAACGTGAACTTGAATGTGGTGGAAAACCTGCAGATCGAACCCACGCTCTTGTCACGTTTTGACCTGATTTTTCTTCTGTTGGACCGGCACGACCCGACGGAGGACAGACGGCTGGCTTCACACGTCCTCGCGCTCTTCATGGAGCCCGATGCGGGGTCCCGCCGCGGCGCGAACACCGCCACGGCGTCCGGCAGTAATAATGGCCTTCACCACAACATGAGGAGTGCTGCGGCGCCGAGCGGCGGCAATGACCCGGTTAACGAGGCGGAGGAGGAGGAGGAGGCGGCGGCGGAAACAGGCGAAAACGGCAATGCACCGCCGCGCGGATTACCCATGGGGACGGCGGCGACGGTGTTGGAGCACGAGGGTGAGGTGTTTCTTGAGGGAACCGAGGACGCCCCGTACATGCCCCCGCGTGTTCTCTCGCAGTACATTGCGCTTGCGCGGGAGACGGTGCACCCGCGGCTCACTGAGGCCTCACACAAGCAGCTGGCGGCGTCGTACGTGGAGATGCGCCGCGCGCGCGGCGGCAGCCGCACGGTGTCTGCCACGCTACGGCAGCTGGAGTCCATGATTCGACTGGCGGAGGCGCGGTGTAAGATGCGGTTTGGCGCGGAGGTGACTGTGGAAGACGTCAAGGACGCAAAGTGGCTGATTAGCGCCGCGCTGAAGGAGGCAGCGACCGACCCTCAGACCGGCCTGATCAACTTGGACATGTTCAGCGCACCCGACCCGACGCGGCAGACGGTTGAGGGCAGTATGCTGCGCTTGGAGCACGTCATTGATAGACGCTACCTCGCGGCGGGCCGCACCTCCGCGACGGTGAACGAGCTGCGACAGGCGCTTAACGAGTCCCTTGGCGGCGGGATACGGCCGCTCGCCATTGCGCAGTTCATGGAGCTTCTGGCACTGATGGCAGGAGGCGAGCACGTGAAGTCCTTCACTGCCACCTCAGTGACCTTTGCTGACAAGGGCCCCTCGTGAGGGACGCTCACTCCCTCTCTCCCTCACACACACACACATACATCTATTGAAATACACATATATGCGTGTAAGCGATTCCGTGTGTGCGGCTCATGTCTGCTCTGACGGCGTGAGTCTGTCAGATTATAACTGCGGAGGTTGGACCACGCGCCTCTCGACAAGTCGCTCACATTCCCCCCCCCCATAATATTCTACGAGGGCATTATGTATTATGCGCTGCTTGGCCTTTCTCTCTCTTTCCCTTTCTTTCTTGGAGTGGTTGCGCATGTGCTTGCGTCCCTTGCCAGTCTGTGTCAAGGAGTGAACCAATACTGCACACAGAACAGCGCGAGGTCAAGATGCAGCAGCCGCAGCGCGACAACAGCCTTTGGGAGGCGCTTGGATTGAGCTCGCTTGACAACACGGAGCAGCAGCTCATCACGCGACGAGTTGTCATAGTGGGGGATGCACTCAGTGGCAAACGTGCATGCGCCAGTCGTCTTTTTGCTGCCGCGATACAACAATTTCCTGCTTCCTCCCCATCGGCCTCATCGTTGCAGGGTTATGTCACGAGCAGTAGCCTCAATGGATGTGGTGTCTGTCGTCCCTTCTCCTCGCAGGGGCTGCGAGAGGGATCGGAAGTGGGCGGCGGCGGCAGCAGCGGCAGCCGGAGCAGCAGCCACCTACCGATGGCGTCGGCCGCGGAGGCGGCGGGGGCCGGGGGAACAGAAGGCGCCAACGCTTTACGGCACTTTCCGCAATTTCTACACGGTGCCGGTATCGCCCAGGCATTTATTCTGCAGCGCATCCCTGCAGTTCGTAGCGTCTTTCTTCCAGCAGTGGAAGACGGGTTGAACACCAGTGGTCCGTGCCGCGGCGGCGGGGGAGTTGGCGGGTCTGCGGCTCTGCCCGGTGGCGTCCGCCGCGCAACGACGGAGTTTTTTTGCTGCGACACACCCGGGGCCCTGGCGATGGCGCTCCCAACGGCAGAGTCGCTGGAGACGAGCGTGGTGCTGCTGGTGGTGGACACCAGTGCGCCGTGGCGCCTGCAGGAGCAGCTGCGGCGCTGGTACGGACACCTGAACACGCACGTCATGCAGACGCTACGCGTGGATCTGCCGAAACAAGACGAGGTGCGTCGCCTGCGCATGGTTGAGCAGCAGCAGCGCTTCTGGCAGGCGCAGCAGCAGGTGCTGGGGTCAATGCGGCGCCGATGGTGTGAACGTGAGGGGATCCAGCTGGGAAGGGGCAGTAGCGAGAACGGCGTCGACGGCGGCGGCAGCCACTGCCCGCTACCGCGTTTGCAGGTGCCGAAGGGTGGCGTCTCTCCACTCCGCACCATTCTTGTCTGCACAAAGACGGACCAACTCGAGAAGTTCTCGCGGGAGGCGGAGAAGTTGTGCCATCAAGGTTCGTCCCTCGCCGCGCAGCATTTGATGACCTCGTTGGAGACTGCGGGCGTCGGCGTGGGACCATGCATCTCCAGTGGTCTCCTCCCCGCACTGCGCACGACTGGTCTGACGCTGCTTGAGCTTGTGGGGCAGCTGCTGCGGAAGGAGGCTGTGGCACGCCAGAGCGCCCTCGTTGGTGTGAGCAGCCGCGTGAACACGATAGCCACCTCCTCCTCCTCCTCCTCCTCCCCCTCATTACAGCCCATAACCGTCCCATCTTCCACGGCGGCGGCAGCACCGTTGCCTGGCGGCGACAGGCTAAATGAGGAGCCCAGCGTGCTTGGGGCGGTCGCGAACACGCCCAGTGTATTTGTCCACCCCTTCTACAAAACTCTTTGGCTGTACATCTTTAGGTTGCTCTACCACCCTCCCACGGCGCTCGGTGGTGGCGTGGTGCCAGCTGACGCCCTCGCCACCCGCGGCGATGACGACGCCGAGGTGCCGGCGGATTTGGCAGCTCCGGAAGGGTCGGCCGGGCTGAGGGGCGAGCGGGGACTGCCCGGGACGTCCCTCCTCGATGAGCTGGAGACGCAGGTCTCATCGCGCTTCCTCCCGCACGCCTTTCTCCCGCACGGCGTGGACCACCTGGAGCTGCTCAGTCCCTTCATCACCTCCACGGACGCCGTGGCGCTGGAGACGGTGTTCGCCGGAGGCTCCGACGAGGCGACGGGTGCCGACTGGGGCGCACTCCGCCTCCACGACGAATACATGCAACAGATAGAAACGGCGCTGGCTGCTCTTGGGCCAGAAGAAGAGACGATGATTTGGGACAAACTGTAAGAACGGCGACAAAAAGAAGAAAATGGAGGAAACTGAGTTCATTTTATTATTATTATTTTTTTTTCTGCGTGTGTGTGTGCCTGTGTGTCTGCGCGGGTTGCTGCTCACCCCGGTGCATCGTGGATGACGCTCTTTGTTGCTTCTCCCGCTCTCTCCCTCGGAGTGCCTCTGGTGTTGACGGGACGTCGTAGGTGCTGAGAGTGTGGCTTGGCAAAAGCAAAGGCAAACTGCGTCGCAGAAGCAGGCAGCAGCTGGGCGTCTGGCCATATCGAATTGGCGTACAAGATGGGATACGTCTCTGACAGCTTTCGCGAGCTTGGGCGGTCCACAATTCTCAGCGTGCAACTCTCCAACGCACTGATTGGCATCAGTGCGGGCGTGGAGGTGCCCCTCATCACTATGGTGGGCCGCAAGCTCGCGTACGATGAAAAAAACATCGCTGGCTACGTCACGCTAACCGCCGTTTTCCGCGTGCTCGCGGATATTCCTAGTGGAATGCTCACGGAGTGCTTCGATATGCGTCGGCTCATGATGGGGGCTGCTTTTTCTCAGGCTATTGGCTGTGCCGTTGCGCTGGTGCTGAAACCAGGCCCGTTCCCGCTTGGCGTCTTCGCTGTAATGGACGGCGTCTCCGTTGGGGCCTACTTTCTGACGCGCCACATCTACGTCAGCAGTAAGGCGAAGCGAGCACACCGTGGCATCGTCTTCTCTTTCCTTGCGGGCGTGCTGCGCTGGTCCCACGTGGTGGGGCCACTGCTGCTCGGCGCCGCAGCCATCATGTGGGACGACGAACAGTTTTACTTTCTCGTGCCCCTCCTTACCTCTTTATTGGCCGGGCTGTGCATTCTGCTGGACGGCTGCTTCTGCCAGTCACACGTCGGGGGTGACGCCCACGAGCGGCAGGCGGTGAAGGAAGCGGTGACGGCGGAGGAGGCAAGGCGGCTCCTGCCCGTCGCAAACGGGGCAACCACGACACGCGTGAGGGTGGAATGTAATGGAGATCCGGTGGCGGAGCCGTCGTACGCGGGGACCGCCGTGGCGTGTGGTAAAGCTGCCTGCGGCAGAGGTGGCAGCCTCTCCACGCCCGGGCCTGCGCCACCCCCACAGGAGGCTGGCTGCGGTCAACCCAGGGCACATGCGGACTTTGGGGTGTGGGCGCTTTGCACCGTCATCGTGGAATTCTGGTCCACAATCTGGCGACTTGGGGGATACATACTCCTGTACGTTTCACTTCGGGCGAACCGAAAGCTACTGCTGACGTTTGCCGCAATGCGCATGAACTTTACCAACTCCGAGCTTGCGTTTCTGCTCTCGTTTAGCTTTGCCTTTGACGCCCTTCTTTTCCCGCTGGGCGGGATTATACTGGACGTCTACGGCCATCGCTGGTCCATGGTCGCAGCCGTCCTCGGCCTCGGCGTCAACTTCATGCTGCTGCCGCTGGTGCAGTCCCCATTGTGGTTGTACGCCATGGCGGCCGCCTTCGGCTCGGCAGATGCGCTTGGGTGCGGCCTTCTTCTGACGCTTATTGCGGATTCTGCGCCAGTGAAGCTTGGCGGCACCTTCTTTGGTGTGATGCGCACCGTGCAGGACATGGGGCACGTGCTTGGGGCGATGGTGGTCTCGGTGATCATCAACCAGGTGGACTTCGTCGTCTGCTGCTACGTTTGGTGGGGGGCGAGTGTCCTGGCCGCGCTGTGGGCGTGGTTCATTTCCCCGGCGACCATCCGTTGACCGGCGGCAGGGGAGGTGCCGGCAGCAGATATGCACAAACAAACATACAAACAAACATACAAACATACACACACACACACACAAACATTGCCAGTGTTTTTTTCGTTTTTTTTCCGTTTAGGTGTTAGACGCCCCC